CCACTGTGTGGAGAGAGATGAGTGAGGCCACCAGTGTCGTCTACCAAGGTGTGGGCACCAGCTGTCCCTCTCAGTGCCACGCTCTCCCTCCTCTCATGATTGGATTTTCCTTCTTCTTCTTCCTGATGATCATGGACAAGATTCCGTACCTCCAGGCCACCCTGAGGTAGCACTTGAGCACTTGCTGCCCCTCCGGGCTACACAGAGTTACAACTTGAGCACTGACTGCCTCTCCCTTTCCCCCTCACAACCCTGCTCATACATGCTGATCTAAATGCTTTTCTTCATTTGCGATATTTTCTCTTTTTAACTGTGGCTGTGAGAATGTGCTGATGTATTGTATGACCTGATCATGGAAGTAGTGTCAGACTTGCCACAGTAACTCTTGCCTCGTCTCCGGTAATAAAAAACTATGAATATTTCGGTCAGCTCTGTACTGAGATGTAGGATTTCTCTCGTCACAAGAGTTCTTGGGGTCAGGTCAGACGTGGCCCGGGAGCCATGCGTCGACCTCTCGTGGCTGTGCATTGTTGATAAATCTGACATTTAGTTTACTTTTAAGAGGCCTTCCCATAACTACAATTAGTTACAATACAAAAATAACCCGTACATAGGAGAAAGAAGCTTATGACGACGTTTCGGTCCAACTTGGACCATCAAAACGTCGTTACCAGTTTCATTCTCCAATGTGCAGGTTGTTTATGTATTGTTCCAGTCACGATATTATGGCTTTTTGTTACTTACAATTAGTTAATGGCCACTTGATTTAAAATTCCTTTAAAGAGGCCATTAATAATATTAATATATAAATCTGCAATATATATTTTTCTAAACTGACTCATCCCATCTTTTTTTTTAATCAGTGTTAGTATTAACCTTGTTGCTAAGAGTCAAATAGTGACTGTTTATGAGTCTTAACAGTGAGTATCTGACTGTGTAATGAAGCGTACTCTCGCTGGGACCACATTTTGTGCTCGCGAATCAAAATTTTTAATTACCTCTTTGTAATGTGTCATTTATTAGTATTGTGGTGTTATAATGTTATTTGTTAAGTACGACGTGTAGCTTAATCATAACATAGTTGAATGAAAACTTGAATTGAAAATCTTGAAGAGGCAATGTAGTGAGAAATTGATTAAAATTCGAGGATGAGTTGACTGACTAAAAGAACTTTAATCCAGAGTGATAACCTGGGTTTTTTCAAATAACTTTTTATATATAAATAATCATGTAGTAATAATATCTTAGGATAATTTATAATCAAAATAATAATTTATTACTTTTAATTGTTTAGTATTGTGCATTAGATATCAGCTTTGCTTTTCATTTGAAGAATTCTTAACGTTGTTCAGTATTTTATTAACCGGCTCTGCAGAATTTGTTAAATATATGACTTACACTAAGCAAGTACTGCAACCTACAATACCTTAACCAGAGTGAGAACCTAGCAACTACTAAAATACCATAGAAACCTAAGCAATACATAAACCCTAACAATATATATAAATAAGTTTAATTCAAGACTTGTAGTATGTGAAGATTTAGTTCTGCCTTTTTATTTGGAATGCTTTGTGTGTTGTTACAGGTTGTTTTACACGGTCTGCGCTTGTGTTTTTATAGTGCCCTGCCAAAGTGCACCCTAGCAACTGCAACCTAGATACCTAGGACGTAGCATGCCCAGCACCCTAGCTACCCTAGAACCTAGCATGCGGAGAAGTGTACACCAGACTTCTTATGGCAATATTTCTCTGCTTATTTTCGTTGTGATGTTTTGCTTTTAAGTCATGGTTGTTGTGCTGGCGTGCCTCGCACAGTGACAACTGTGAACAGTCAAGTAGGCGTGCCCTTACTGATAGCTGCTGGAGAGGCCAGAGTGTTGCATTATGCAAATTTGTAACATATCTGCGTTGAGATTATTTTCATTAGTTGTGCAGCTCTCGGAAACTTTAAGGTAATTAGTCTCTTGCACACAATAGGTTTGGGACAAAGGGGCATATGCACAATGTTGACATCATGCAGTTAAATACTCAGTGTACTCGAAACTTGCATAACATGTGTTCTCACCTCAATATACACAGGTGTACCACTGGTATACACATGTACCACCTGCAGTACTACACAGTGTACCACCTGCAGTACTACACAGTGTACCACCTGCAGTACTACACAGTGTACCACCTGCAGTACTACACAGTGTACCACCTGCAGTACTACACAGTGTACCACCTGCAGTACTACACAGTGTACCACCTGCAGTACTACACAGTGTACCACCTGCAGTACTACACAGTGTACCACCTGCAGTACTACACAGTGTACCACCTGCAGTACTACACAGTGTACCACCTGCAGTACTACACAGTTACAACTGCAGTATACACAGTGTTCCACCTGCAGTACTACACAGTGTACCACCTGCAGTACTACACAGTGTACCACCTGCAGTACTACATAGCGTACCACCTGCAGTACTACACAGTGTACGAACTGCAGTACTGCACAGTGTACCACCTGCAGTACTACACAGTGTACCACCTGCAGTACTACAAGTGTACCACCTGCAGTACACAGTGTACAACTGCAGTACTACACAGTGTACCACCTGCAGTACTACACAGTGTACCACCTGCAGTATTACACAGTGTACGAACTGCAGTACTACACAGTGTACCACCTGCAGTACTACACAGTGTACAAACTGCAGTACTACACAGTGTACAACTGCAGTACTTACACAGTGTACACCTGCAGTACTACACAGTGTACCACCTGCAGTACTACACAGTGTACAACTGCAGTACTCACAGTGTACACTGCAGTACTACACAGTGTACCACCTGCAGTACTACACAGTGTACCACCTGCAGTACTACACAGTGTACCAACTGCAGTACTACACAGTGTACCACCTGCAGTACTACACAGTGTACCACCTGAAGTGCTACACAGTGTACCACCTGCAGTATTACACAGTGTACGAACTGTAGTACTACACAGTGTACCACCTGCAGTTTACACAGTGTACGACTGAAAGTACTACACAGTGTACCACCTGCAGTATACACAGTGTACAAACTGCAGTACTACACAGTGTGCCAACTGCAGTATACACAGTGTCCCACCTGCAGTACTACACAGTGTACCACCTGCAGTACTACACAGTGTACACCTGCAGTACTACACAGTGTCCAACTGCAATACTACACAGTGTACCACCTGCAGTACTACACAGTGTACCACCTGCAGTACTACACAGTGTGCCACCTGCAGTACTACACAGTGTACCACCTGCAGTACTACACAGTGTACCAACTGCAGTACTACACAGTGTACGAACTGCAATACTACACAGTGTACCACCTGCAGTACTACACAGTGTACCACCTACAGTACTACACAGTGTACGAACTGCAGTACTACACGGTGTACGAACTGCAGTACTACACAGTGTACCACCTGCAGTACTGCACAGTGTACCACCTGCAGTACTACACAGTGTACGAACTGCAGTACTACACGGTGTACGAACTGCAGTACTACACAGTGTACCACCTGCAGTACTACACAGTGTACCACCTGCAGTACTACACAGTGTACACACTGCAGTACTACACGTGTACAACCTGCAGTACTACACAGTGTACCACCTGCAGTACTACACAGTGTACCACCTGCAGTACTACACAGTGTACCACCTGCAGTACTACACAGTGTAGCACCTGCAGTACTACACAGTGTACGAACTGCAGTACTACACAGTGTACGAACTGCAGTACTACACAGTGTACCACCTGCAGTACTACACAGTGTACCACCTGCAGTACTACACAGTGTACCACTGCAGTACTACACAATGGTACACACGTGCCAGTAGTACTACACAGTGTACACCTGCAGTACTACACAGTGTACCACCTGCAGTACTACACAGTGTACCACTGCAGTTACTATCAACATCAAGTGTACCACCTGCGATACGTATCACACTGGTACCACCTGCAGTACTACACAGTGTACCACTGCAGTACTACACAGTGTACCATCCTGACAAGTACCTCATTATACAGTGTACCACCTGCAGTACTACACAGTGTACCACCTGCAGTACTACACAGTGTACCACCTGCAGTACTACACAGTGTACCACCTGTAGTACTACACAATGTACCACCTGCAGTACTACACAGTGTACCACCTGCAGTACTACACAGTGTACCACCTGCAGTACTACACACTGTGCCACCTGTAGTACTACACAGTGTACCACCTGCAGTACTACACAGTGTACCACCTGCAGTACTACACAGTGTACCACCTGCAGTACTACACAGTGTACCACCTGCAGTACTACACAGTGTACGAACTGCAGTACTACACAGTGTACCACCTGCAGTACTACACAGTGTACCACCTGCAGTACTACACAGTGTACCACCTGCAGTACTACACAGTGTACCACCTGCAGTACTACACAGTGTACCACCTGCAGTACTACACAGTGTACCACCTGCAGTACTACACACTGTGCCACCTGCAGTACTACACAGTGTACGAACTGCAGTACTACACAGTGTACCACCTGCAGTACTACACAGTGTACCACCTGCAGTACTACACAGTGTACCACCTGCAGTACTACACAGTGTACCACCTGCAGTACTACACAGTGTACCACCTGCAGTACTACACAGTGTACCACCTGCAGTACTACACAGTGTACCACCTGCAGTACTACACAGTGTACCACCTGCAGTACTACACAGTGTACCACCTGCAGTACTACACACTGTGCCACCTGCAGTACTACACAGTGTACGAACTGCAGTATTCAACTGACATCGATTCATCACATCTAACTATTTCAACCAGTTCACTGTTTCCTATCTTACCAGTCTATATATTTGTGCAGTTTCTATCAGCTGTGTCCTGATAAAGCTCTCACTGGATCGAAACGTGTCCCAGTGGAAGACCTTTCTGCAAATGTATCTTTTCTCCACCAGGTCAGGTTAGGTGAGGTTAGCAGACGGCCTAGGTTAGGTCAAAAGAAATTAGGAGGCATTCAAGGTTATATTAGGAGAGGTCAGGCGATGTCAAAGGTCAGTAGAAGTGAAAAGATAACGCGAGACATCATGAGAAGACAGTCAAGTCGGGCAAGAGAAGTGAAGAGGCTGCCGAGGTCAGTCTGGAAAGGTGAGACACGCAGAGTCAGGTCAGGAGAGGTGAGACATGCAGAGTCAGGTCAGGAGAGGTGAGACACGCAGAGTCAGGTCAGGAGAGGTGAGACATGCAGAGTCAGGCCAGGAGAGGTGAGACATGCAGAGTCAGGCCAGGAGAGGTGAGACATGCAGAGTCAGGTCAGGAGAGGTGAGACATGCAGAGACAGGTCAGGAGAGGTGAGACATGCAGAGTCAGGTCAGGAGAGGTGAGACATGCAGAGTCAGGTCAGGAGAGGTGAGACATGCAGAGTCAGGTCAGGAGAGGTGATACATGCAGAGTCAGGTCAGGAGAGGTGAGACATGCAGAGTCAGGTCAGGAGAGGTGAGACATGCAGAGTCAGGTCAGGAGAGGTGAGACATGCAGATTCAGGTCAGGAGAGGTGAGACATGCAGAATCAGGTCAGGAGAGGTGAGACATGCAGAGTCAGGTCAGGAGAGGTGAGACATGCAGAGTCAGGCCAGGAGAGGTGAGACATGCAGAGTCAGGTCAGGAGAGGTGAACATGCAGATCAGGTCAGGAGAGGTGAGACATGCAGAGTCAGGTCAGGAGAGGTGAGACATGCAGAGTCAGGTCAGGAGAGGTGAGACATGCAGAGTCAGGTCAGGAGAGGTGAGACATGCAGAGTTCAGGTCAGGAGAGGTGAGGCATGCAGAAGTCAGGTCAGGAGAGGTGAGACATGCAGAGTCAGGTCCAGGAGAGGTGAACATGCAGAGTCAGGCAGGAGAGGTGAGACATGCAGAGTCAGGCCAGGAGAGGTGATACATGCAGAGTCAGGTCAGGAGAGGTGAGACATGCAGAGTCAGGTCAGGAGAGGTGAGACATGCAGAGTCAGGTCAGGAGAGGTGAGACATGCAGAGTCAGGTCAGGAGAGGTGAGACATGCAGAGTCAGGTCAGGAGAGGTGAGGCATGCAGAGTCAGGTCAGGAGAGGTGAGGACATGCAGAGTCAGGTCCGGAGAGGTGAGTTACCACATCAAGAATATGTATATGATTTTCATTTTTTTTAGTCCATCCTTCACTTGTTATACATAGTAAACTGCTGCTGCTAACTGCTCTCTTCTACATGTACTAGTTATTGTCTTAATTTACTAATTTGCTTCTTATGCACCAGCTTGAAATCGTTATCAGTTGCAACTTATATAGACTAATTTGTCAGGACTGTGTGTGTGTTATATATATATATATATATATATATATATATATATATATATATTATATATATATATTATATATATATATATTTAATTTAATAATAAACAAGTACAATGATATATACTTTTTTCATTAGTTTCAGAATGGTTTTTGTGAAATTACTACATACACAAATTTTCGCTTGCCTTATTCGGCAAGGAAGTGCGGTTGCCTATTTAAGCCAAAACCGAAGTTTTGCCGATTCGGCACTGACATTCTTTATTACTTTATACTTAATTATATTGCTGTTGGGTTTCTTTCAACTTCAAAAATCAGTAGTGATAAGATTTTTGTATATATATATATATACAATATATATATATATATATATATTATATATTTTGTAATAATTTTTTTATATATATATATATATAATATAATTATATTATATATTTATATATATATATATATACATATATATATTTATATATATTACTTATATATATATATTTATTATTGGTGGTAATGTAGAGACTTTGTATGACAGATGTGTACCCGACTCCCACCGCTCCTTTGCCCTGGGACTTCAGTGGATCGTGGTTCGTCTGCTGGGCACCATCCCTGGACCTATACTCTTTGGTGCCCTCATCGATGATACCTGTATATTGTGGCAGTCCACCTGTGGCAAGGGCGGGGCATGTAGAAGCTATGATAACTTCTATATGAGCAGGTTAGTGGTTGCTACCTGTGCATGTGCAGGTTAGTAGGTGCTACCTGTGAATGAGCAGGTTAGTGGGTGCTACCTGTGTATGTGCAGGTTAGTGGGTGCAACCTGTGTATGTGCAGGTTAGTGGGTGCTACTTGTGTATGAGCAGGTTAGTGGGTGCTACCTGTGTATGAGCAGGTTAGTGGGTGCTACTGTGTTGTGCTAGGTTAGTTGGGTGCTACCTGTGTATGAGCAGGTTAGTGGGTGCTACCTGTGTATGTGCAGGTTAGTAGGTGCATACCTGTGAATGAGAGGTTATGTGGGTCTACCTGTGTATGAGCAAGTGTTAGTGGGCGCTACCTGTGTATGAGCAGGTTATTGGGCGCTACCTGTGTATGAGCAGGTTAGTGGGCGCTATCTGTGTATGAGCAGGTTAGTGGGCGCTACCTGTGTATGAGCAGGTTAGTGGGTGCTACCTGTGTATGAGCAGGTTAGTGGGTGCTACCCTGTGTATTGAGGCAGGTTAGTGGTGCTACCTGTTTATGGGAGCAGGTAGTGGGCGCTACCTGTGTATGAGCAGGTTAGTGGGTGCTACCTAGTGTATGAGCAGGTCAGGGGGTGCTACTCTGTGTATGAGCAGGTTAGTGGGTGACATACTGTGTATGAGCAGGTTAGTGGGCGCTACTGTGCTTTAAGCAGGTTAGTGGGTGTTCCTGTGTATGAGCTGTCAGTGGGTGCTTACCTGGTGTTTGAGAGGTTGGTGGGCAGCTACCTGTGTATGAGCAGGTTAGTGGGTGCATACCTGTGTATGAAGCAGGTTTGTGGGTGCTACGTGGTGAATGGAGCTGGTCAGTGGGTGCTAACCTGTGTCATGAGCAGGATTAGTGGGTGATACTGTGTTGAGCAGGTTTTAGTGGGTGCTACCTGTGTTATGTAGCAGGTTAGTAGGGCGCTCTGTGTATGAGCTGGTTAGTGGGTGCTACCTTGTGTATGAGCAGGTTAGTGGGGCGCTACCCTGTGTATGAGCAGGTTAGTGGGTGCTACCTGTGTATGAGCAGGTTAGTGGGCGCTACCTGTGTATGAGCAGGTTAGTGGGTGCTACCTGTGTATGAGCAGGTTAGTGGGTGCTACCTGTGTATGAGCAGGTTAGTGGGCGCTACCTGTGTATGAGCAGGTTAGTGGGTGCTACCTGTGTATGAGCTGGTTAGTGGGTGGACCTGTGTATGAGCAGGTTAGGGGTGATTCATGTGTATGAGCAGGTTAGTGGGTGCTACCTGTGTATGAGCAGGTTTAGTGGGTGCTACCTGTGTCATGGGCAGGTTAGTGGTGTGGCTTACCTGTGTTATGAGCAGGTTTAGTGGGTGCTACCTGTGTATGAAGCAGGTTTGTGGGTGCTTCCTGTGTATGACGCAGGTTAGTGGTGCATACCTGTGTATGAGCAGGTTAGTGGGTGCTACCTGTTATGAGCGGTTAAAGTGGGGGCTACCTGTGTATGAGCAGGGGTTAGTGGGTGCTACCTGTGTATGAGGCGGTTAGTGGGTTGCTACCTGGTTTGAGCAGGTAGTGGGCGCTACCTTGTATGAGGCAGGTTAGTGGGGTGTACTGTGTACTGAGAGGTTACGTGGGTGCTACCTGTGTATGAGCAGGTTAGTGGGTGCTACCTGTGTATGAGCAGGTTAGTGGGTGCTACCTGTGTATGAGCAGGTTAGTGGGCGCTACCTGTGTATGAGCTAGGTAGTGGGTGCTACCTGTAGTTTGAGCAGGTTAGTGGGTGCTACCTGTGTATGAGCAGGTTAGTGGGTGCTACCTGTGTATGAGCAGGTTAGTGGGTGCTACCTGTGTATGAGCAGGTTAGTGGGTGCTACCTGTGTAATAAAAAAAATTAAGCAGGTTAGTGGGTGCTACCTGTGTATTGAGCAGGTTAGTGGTGCTACTGTGTATGAGCAGGTTAGTGGGTTGCTACATGTGTATGAGCAGGTTAGAGGGCGCTACCTGTTGTGAGTCAGGTTTTAAGTGGGATCTACCTGTGTTTATGAGCAGGTTAGTGGGGTGCTCATGTGTATGAGTGGTTAGTGGGTGCTACATGTTGTATGAGCAGGTTAGTGGGTGCTACCTGTGTATGAGCAGGTTAGTGGGTGCTACCTGTGTATGAGCAGGTTAGTGGGTACTACCTGTGTATGAGCAGGTTAGTGGGTGCTACCTGTTAATGAGCAGGTTGTGGGTGCTAACTGTGTATGGAGCAGGTTAGTGGGCGCTACCTGATGTATGAGCAGGTTAGTGGGCTGCTACCCTGGTGTATGAGCAGGTTAGTGGGCGCTACCTGTGTATGAGCATGTTAGTGGGTGCTACCTGTGTATGAGCAGGTTAGTGGGTACTACCTGTGTATGAGCAGGTTAGTGGGTGCTACCTGTGTATGAGCAGGTTAGTGGGCATCTACCTGTGTATGAGCAGGTTAGAGGGTGCTACTGTGTATGAGCTGGTTAGTGGGTACTACCTGTGTATGAGCAGGTAGTGCGGTACTACATGTGTATGAGCAGGTTAGTGGGTGGCTACCTGTGTTGAGCAGGTTAGTGGGTTACTACCTGTGTATGAGCAGGTTAGTGGGTGCTACCTGTGTATGAGCAGGTTAGTGGGCGCTACCTGTGTATGAGCAGGTTAGTGGGTGCTACTGTGTTTGAGCAGGTTAGTGGGTGCACCTGTGTATAGCAGGTTTGTGGGTGCTTACATGTGTACTGTAGCAGGTTAGTGGGTACTACTGTGTCTGAGCAGGTTAGTGGGTGTACTGTGTTTGAGCAGGTTAGTGGGCGCGCCCTGTGTTGAGCTGGTTAGTGGGTGCCTACCTGTCATATGAGCAGGTTAGTGGGTGCTAAACTGTGTATGAGCAGGTTAGTTTGTAACTACCTGGTATGAGCAGTTATTGGGTACTACCTGTGTATGAGCAGGTTAGTGGGTGCTACCTGTGTATGAGCAGGTTCAGTGGGGTACTACCTGTGTATGAGCAGGTTAGTGGGTGATACCTGTGTATGGAGAGGTTAGTGGGCGCTAACTGTGTATGAGCAGGTTATGGGTGCTACCTGTGTATGAGCAGGTTAGTGGGTGCTACCTGAGTATGAGCAGGTTTGTTTGGGCGCTACTGTGTATGAGCAGGTTAGCTGTGTGCGACCTGTGTATGAGCAGGTTAGTGGGTGCTACCTGTGTATGAGAGGTTAGGTGGGGCGCTACCTGTGTATGAGCATAGGTTAGTGGGGTGCTACCTGTGTTATGAGCAAGGTTAGTGGGTGTACCTGTGTATGAGCAGGTTAGTGGTACTACCTGTGTATGAGCAGGTTAGTGGGTGCTTCCTGTGTATGAGGAAGGTTAGTGGGCGATTACCTGTGATGAGCAGGGTTAGTGGGGCTACCTGTGTATGAGCAGGTTATTGGGCCTACCTGTGTATGAGCAGGTTAGATGGGTCGATACCGGTGTATGCTTAAATCTTTTAGCCAGGGTTAGTGGGTGCATACTGTGTATGAGCAGGTTAGTGGGCGCTACTGTGATGAGCAGGTTAGTGGGTGCTACCTGTGTATGAGCAGGTTAGTGGGTGTAACTGTGTTATGAGCACGAGTTAGTGAGTACTACCTGTGTTTGAGCGTTTAGTGGTGATACCTGTGTTATGAGCAGGTTAGTTGGGCGGCTAACACTGTGTATGAGCAGCGTTAGTGGGATGCTACCTGTGTAGATGAGCAGGTTAGTGGGCGCTACCTGCTGTATGAGCAGGTTAGGTGGGTGCACCTTGTGTAATGAGCAGGTTAGTGGGTACTACCCTGTGTATGAGCAGGTTAGTGGGCGCTACCTGTGTATGAGCTGGTTAGTGGGTGCTACCTGTGTATGAGCAGGTTAGTGGGTGCTACCTGTGTATGAGCAGGTTAGTAGGTGCTACCTGTGTATGAGCAGGTTAGTGGGTGCTACCTGTGTATGAGCAGGTTAGTGGGTGTTACCTGTGTATGAGCAGGTTAGTGGGTACTACCTGTGTATGAGCAGGTTAGTGGGTGCTACCTGTGTATGAGCAGGTTAGTGGGCGCTACCTGTGTATGAGCAGGTTAGTGGGTGCTACCTGTGTATGAGCAGTTTAGTGTCGCGATACCTGGTGTATGAGCAGGTTAGTGGGTGCTACCTGGTGTGTAATGGCAGGTTAGTGGGTGCTACATGTGTATGAGCAGGTTAGTGGGTGCTACCTGTGTATGAGCAGGTTAGTGGGTGCTACCTGTGTATGAGCAGGTTAGTGGGCGCTACCTGTGTATGAGCAGGTTAGTGGGTGCTACCTGTGTATGAGCAGGTTAGTGGGTGCTACCTGTGTATGAGCAGGTTAGTGGGTGCTACCTGTGTATGAGCAGGTTAGTGGGTGCTACCTGTGTATGAGCAGGTTAGTGGGTACTACCTGTGTATGAGCAATCTGTTCCATTTAATTTATCTAGATTATTTTGCTTGTCACTTGTCATGATTATTAAGTCTAATTTATCAGCTCGGTTACTAATTAACTTGATAAATAATTAAATGCTTGTTGCACGTAAGTTTTTCTTGAACACTTATAATAATATGAAATGACTCAAGAAATCGTAATGACACGATTGCTAGCTGGTCTAGTGGCTAACGCGACGGGCTGGAGTTTTGAGACTCTATGACCGCGGGTTCAATCCCGGCCGGGGGTATGGTTTAATAATATGAAAGTTTAGATGAATCAGCTTTAAAAAACTGTTTCTTGTAGACACAAAAATGCACGTAATATGTATCTGCAAGTTGTAGAAATGCATGCAAGGTCAATGAAAATTGCAATAAAATTTTAAATTTTGATTGACTAGGATGGTTTCTAGGTTGGTTTTAGTGTTGATAAGTTGTTTTTTTTTCTTTTTTTTCTTGGTTAAAATAAGTGAAAAAAGTGATTAATTTAGCATATTTAAGCAGTTTTTAGGTTGATTCTAATGGCTGAACTGGGAATTTCTCTGTTCCATTAGTTTGGAAACTTACTACAGTTGGTTTCATCTGGGGAAATGACCCAAAATAAGGGGTCACTTCACCCTCCTCACCTTTACCTCCCCAGAAACACATCTGGTTTGACTAATCCGTCAACAACTATTAGGTCCTCCAAATACGCTTGACAATGGTCTTCTAGATGATAAATAAGGAAAAACTTCGATTTCTAGTGGAGTGACGATGTAGTGACAATGTAGAGCAATCTAGCATAGCAAGAGTCTCAGGACGGTCATAACGGAGAGACGCAAGATTGTTTTAGTAACTGGAATTACTACTGTTATTTTGGGACTCTGATTTGAAAAAGGAAATTACTGAACTTAGTTTAAAATTAACTGAAAGTCCAAGTTTTGGAATATTAACAGGTTGGTTTCGGAATTTTCCATTGTCGTGTCTTGCTGTCCAGTTTTATAGCACTCAAGCCACACTAGTGAAAATATATAGATGGCGGTCTATTTGATAGGACTGAATTAGACCGAGGAATTGGCTTACAAATGAGTATCTTTGACCGACTTTCCCAGCAGTTAACCCTCCAAGAAGCTATTTTTAGGTCTGTAAAACCTCCAGTGACCTTCAAATGGATCTTAATAAATAGCCACTAATATCACACACAGCTGTAATGTGACATAACTCATAAATCACAGCTGCAAGGTGACATAACTCGTAAATGACAGCTGCAATGTGGCTATAACTCATAATTTGACAAAGCTTTGCAATGTGACTTAACTTATAAATCACAGCTGCAATGTGACATAACTCATAAATGACAGCTGCAATGTGGCATAACTCATAAATGACAGCTGCAATGTGACATAACTTATAAATCACAGCTGCAATGTGACATAACTCATAAATGACAGCTGCAATGTGACATAACTTATAAATCGCCAGCTGCAATGTGAAATAACACTCGTAATCACAGCTGCAATGTGACATAACTTATAAATCACAGCTGCAATGTGACATAACTCATAAATGACAGCTGCAATGTGATATAACTCATAAATGACAGCTGCAATGTGACATAACTCATAAATCACAGCCTACATTGTGGACTAACTGTAAAATCACCGCTGCAATGGCATACTCATAAATCACTGCTGCCAAATTGTGACATAACTCATAAATGATAGCTGCAAGTGACATAAACTCATAAATGACAGCTTGCAATGTGACATAACTCATAAATCACAGCCTACAAGTGACATAACTCGTAAATCACATAGCTGCATGTGACATAAATCATAAATCACAGCTGCAATGTGACATATACTCATAAATGATTGCTGCATTTGACATAAATCATAAGTGACAGCTGCAATGTGTCTTAACTCATAAATCACAGCTGCAATGTGACATAATCATAAATGACCAGGCTGCAATGTGGACATATACTCAAAATCACAGCTTACTATGTGACATAACTCGTAATCATTAGCTGCAATGCTGACAAATCATAATGACAGCTGCAATGTGACATAATCATAAATCACAGTGCATGTGACATAACTCATAATTCACAAGCTGCTAGGTGACATTAACTCATAAATCACTGCTGCAATGTGATATAACTTCATAAATCACAGCTGCAAGGTGACTATAAACTCATAAAGCACAGCTACCCAATGTGACATAACCTCATAAATTTACAGCTTCAATGTGACATAAACTCATAAATCACAGCAGCAAGGTGACATAATTCATAAATCACAGCTGCAAGTGACATAACTCATAAATCACAGCTTTCATGTGACATAACTCATAAATCACAGCTTATTTTATTAGCCCAAAAATGGGGGCGGTGACATAACTCATAAATCAAAGCTGCAAGGTGACATAAATTAATTAGTATCACAGCTGCAGGTGACATAACTCATAAAATCACAGTTACAATGGACATAACTCATTAATCACAGCTTGAATGTGACATATCTCATAAATCACAGCTACACTTGTGACATAACTCATAAATCACAGCATGCACAATGTGACACTAAAACTCAAATATCACAGCTGCAATGTGAATAACTCATAATCACCGCTGAAAGGTGAAATAATTCATTAAATCACTGACTGCAATCGTGATATAATCATAAATCACAGCTGTAAGGTGACATAACCTCTAATTCACAAAAAAAAAAAAAAAAGGGCTTTACAATGTGGCAAAACTCATAAATCACAGCTACAAATGTGGACATTACTATAACCTCCAACAGCCAGCAAGGTGGGTCATAATTTCATAAATTCACAGCTGCACAGGTGACATACTCATAAATCACAGCTACAATGGACTAATCATAAATCACAGCTGGCAAATGGTGACATTAATCATAAAATCACAGCTGCAAGTGTGTCATAATCATAAAGCCACAGCAGCAAGGTGACATAACTCATAAATCACAGTTACAATGTTGACATAACTCATAATTCCAGGCTGCAATGTGACTATCTCATAAATAACAAGCTACAATGTGACATAACTCATAAATCACAGCTGCAATGTGACATAACTCATAAATCACAGCTGCAATGTGACATAACTCATAAATCACAGCTACAATGTGACATAACTCATAAATCACAGCTGCAATGTGACATAACTCATAAATCACAGCTGCAATGTGACATAACTCATAAATCACATAAATACCCGACGCTATTACCAGAAAGGCAAAAATACGGTAGGAATGCACTTGGCCGACGGTGGTACGAGAGGCGCATCCCACAATTATCTTGTTAGATAAAAAGACATATGCTTAACTAATTTGATGTTTTATTGTTGCAACGTTTCGCTCTTCAGAGTTTTGTAAAGTTATTATAAACAATACAGTGACACAGAGGATACATATATAGATAATAATATGAGATCATAAATCATTAGCAGTGAAGAAACCTAACTGGCCCATGTAATGGTCTGTACAATTGTAGTAATAGTGTAGTATTGTTAGTAAACAGTAGTAGGTAATTGGAGAGCAGTAGCTAGTAGTAGTAGTAGTAGTAGCACCATTCGAAGTAGCAGTAAATGGTATTGAATAGTAGTAGGAATAGTAGTAGATAGTAGTATTAATAGTAGTAGTAGTAGCAGCAGTGTAGAAGTGGTATTAGTAGTAGTAGTGTAGTAGTCTTAGTAAGTGATAGAAGTAGAAGCAATAGTAATAGCGTTAGGAGTAGTAGTAGTAGTAGAAAATAATAGTAATTTGTCAATAGCTAGTAAAGTAGTAAATAGAAGTAGTTAGTACAACTGTAGCAGTATTAATAGTAGGATTGCAGGAAGCAGTGGATGTAACTTTCCTGGTTGTTTGTGATGCATAGTTCATTTGTTTTGAGAATAATTCTCGGCTCATTCATCAGATGACGAAGCTGCCATTATTCCTTTAATAGTGATGAAATGAAATTTTAGTTCCTGGAGCTACTTTGAAGACTGAAACATTACAAACATAAAAAGGTCGGCACTAGTCAATTTTTTCTTATATATTCATATTCATGGATAATTCTACCAATCATTATTACATTACTTCTTTGCATGAAAAAGAAAATCTAAAGTGCCATTCGCCTCCCTTATCCTTAATTTTTAATATTTCATACTGCAAAACCAAGGAAAATGGGCCTTTAAATGGCTTTAAATAAAGACAGATGTCTTAGACAAAATTATATTCGACTGAGACCTAATTTTAAGAAAAAGTCAATTTTCAGCACCTAACTGGCAGGTGTCTGAGTGAAACAGTTGTTTGGTTACTAATAGTCCCCTAATTATGGTTATATGAATATTATTTATATTATATATATATATATATATATATATTTATATATATATTATATATATATAATATATTTATATATGGTCTTCCAATAGTATATGATAATATTGTAGTGTTTGTTAAATTATTTTCTGCCAGAGTTTATTGAACAGCTCAACTGCCCATTAGGTTAAATAGCCTGTCCCAGCCTGTACTCACCTAATTGTGGTTGCAGGGGTCGAGACTCAGCTCTTGGCCCCGTCTCTTCATGATCGCTACAGGTCCTCTCTCTCCTGCTCCATGAGGTTTATCATACCTGTCTTAAAATATGTATGGTTCCTGCCACCATACATCACTTGCCAGGACTATTCCACTTCCTTACAACTCTATGCCTAAAGAATATTCCTTAATCTCTTTGACTCCCTGAGTCTTCAACTTCCAAACTGTGACCCCTTGTTTCTGTGTTAAATCTCGGAAAACATCCTGTCTCTGTCCACCTTGTCAATTCCCTGCATTATTTTGTTTGTCTTATCTGTCTTCCCTAATCCTCCAGTGTCGTCAGGGCGTTTTCCTTACCTTTCTCCTTAGGACATTCCCCTTACCTCTGGGGACTGCCTTATTGCAAACCTTTGCACTCTTCTCTAATTTCTTGAGATGCTTGACAGGTGTAGGTCCCCCCCCTCCCCAAACCCCCACCCCCCCCCCACCCTCCCCCAACCCCCCCCTCCCCCCCGGCACCCCCCCCCCCCCCCGGTGCTGCATCTCCGTATAGGGCCTGACGTAAACAGTGTTACTGAATTTGAACGATTCCTTACTGAAGTATGGAAGCTTTTCTCAGGTTTGGTAGGCGCTAATATGCTGCCCGGCTATTATGTAGTTGATTGCGCCTCAGGAGGATGTGCTCTTATTATATTCACCCCAGGATCATTTTCCTTGAGTGAGGATTGCAGTCTTTTTGGCCCACCTAGCCTATATATCTGTCTGTGGTCTTGCTTAGCCCTCCCCGATCTTTATGACTTTGCATTTGGCGGGGTTTAAATTTCGAGGAAGCAGTTGCTGGATCAGTTTCCCAGCCTGTCAGTCTCTTGAAGTATGATATCCTACTCTGATTTAATTCTCTCTCATTAACTCACATATCTGCAGACAAGGACACTTATGGTCTATCACCTTCGCCATGTCACTTAACGTACACAAAAATAGCACTGGCCCTAGAAACTGACACCTGTGGAACCCCGATCTGTCACAAGACGCCAACTTCTGATACCTCCGTCTCTGTCAGACTCGTTGTTGCCTCCCCTGTCAGGTATTCTCTGTTCCATTGCAGTGCACTTCCTGTTATACGTGCTTGATTCTCTAGTTTTTGTATTATTCCTTATCAAGAACTGTATCAAAGGGCCCTTTGCCCCAAGAAAATGCAGTCTACCCCCCCTCTCTCTCGTGTTCTTACTTCCGTTCCCTTTGTCAAAAAAACCCCAGTAGCTCTAGCAGGGGTTTGCCTTTCCCTGAATCCGTGCGGTTGTCGTTCATAAGCTTTTTGTTTTTGTCCACCCCCTTCCTGTAATCTTTCCATGACTTTGATACTATGCCTCAGTGCACGGGTCTATACTTTGTGCCTCGTGCTTACGTGCTTCGCTGGTGGGGTTCCCAAAGGTGCGATACTTCTTTAAGGGCCTGAATTCATTGTCGGGGTCGAACGATTTTTGTTGGAGGGCAGAATGTATTTATGGTTTTGCTGGGGCGTCATATGCTCAGTTTATTTGGTTTTGTGCTCTTCGATGTGCGGGTTTTTAATCACCCAAGTCCTTTTCCTTGAGTGAGGTTTGAGTCTCTATCCCCTAGCTGTACTTCTCTGCAGTCTTATTTACCCCTTCCCAATCTTCTGACTTTTTCACTTGGTGGGGGTTTCTCCAGGAGCCAATTGCGGAACCCGGTCTGCCCTGTCCAGATCCCCTTTTTATTTGCTTTGGGTTTTCATCCGATTGATTATTCTCCCAGCCCATTTGGACCCAGAGGGCAAACCTGTTATCCTGGGTGTAAGGGAGCAAATAAAACGCAGGTTTTAAGTAGCGGCAGCGGGAGCGCGATTTCCCAAACTCGTACTTTTCTCCAACTACAGGCTTTCAATGCCCATGATGACCTAGTACAAAAAATTGCACTACCCAACGTAGCCCCGAATGACCAAAGATTCCAACAGGAAAAACCCTACAAATCAAAAAATAAAGAGTTCAAAAAAGACTGAAACAAAAACCCGGGAAAGAAAAACCCCCCGCTGCCACCGAAAAACGTAAAATAAGCTTTGTATACTAAAAATTCTTTTTAACGCAAAAATTTTCCTGTAGTATTATGAGGCGCAATCTAAGGGGAAAAAACAGAAACCAAGGCCACAAGAAAACCCAAAAAAATTCAACTATTCAAAAAAAGTGGTCAGGGGGACCCCGGGCCCGAAAACCACCCACTCCCCAAAAAACTCAAGCGCCCCCAAACAAAAAACAACAAAACTTTGGCTGCCCCCAAACCCATCCTACCCTCTCTTCCCCGGTTTTAAACCCTCCCAAAGTACCCTTCAGGAAATTACAAACGACCCAAAACCCCCAAAAGGGACATGCACCCTTCCCCCTTTTTGGTTTTTTAAAATATGAATCTTGGAGGCAAAAAAAAACAAGACCCGGATGCCCAAAACTCGAAAAAAAAAATCCCCCGGTTTGAAAAAAAAAAAAAAAAGGGTTTTTCCAACACCGGAAGGGAAAAACTGTGACAAGACCCCCAAAACAGTCATAGATAGCCATCCCCAAACCAAATTTTTTCCCCTTTTTAAAAAAGGGTTAAAGGGAAAGCTTTTTAAAAAAAAGGGGAAAACAATTTGAAAAACCAGTTCAGTGCAAATTTTGTTTCTCCAAGAAGTTAAAATGAAAAAGTTAAACTATCGGACGCGAAATATTTTTAAACGTCCATTTTTCCCCCCAATGTATAAACCCAAAACAAACAGTAAAAAAATTTTTACTCGAAGATAAAAAAGGGAACCAAACTATTGTTATTTTTCCAGAGCCCCGAAAAAAAAGAAGCCGGTTACTAGGATCCCAGGGTAAAAAAAAGGGGTTATGTTTTGTTTCCACTAACATAAAAGGAAAAAAGATTTAAATTTTTTGCATCTTTTTAAATTAAAGAAAGAGGTAAACAAAAAACGAGTGCCCTTAAACCAAAAACGTCAGAACCCCTGTAAAGATTCAAAAAAATTTTTAAGCAGAAAATTAACGAACAAACCCAAATGTTTCCCCAAAAGGGATGGGAAAATTCTTTTAGGAAAAAAAAATTTTGGCCAATGTCCAATAACGAACAAAATTTGATCTATCCCCGTTTTATCGGGGTTTCTAATTTAAGAGAATAACTAAAAAAATGTAAAACCTTAAAAAGCCAAAGTAGTGTGTGTTTGTTTTCCCCCAAATTATTGTTAAAAATTTCTTTGTAAAATCTTTTAGAAAAAAATTTTTTCAATTTCCTCTTTGTAATTTTATTTAGAAAAGAAAAATAAAACCTTTATGTGTTTTTCTTATTTACAAAATTTTTTTCGTTTTAAACCCCTTGCTGAATTGATACTTCTTGTCCATATTACTACCTCTTTTTTTTTTAAAATACTTTTAAAATTTTGTATTATTTACAAAAAATTAATAAATATAAATTTTTAAACTAAAATTTTTTTTTTACTTTAAACCCTTTTTTAAACATTAAATAACCATTACTTGTTAATTCCCTTTTAACTTTTTAAAAATTTCCCACATTTACTATCCTAAATTACTTTTTTTAAACCTTGTACTGCCATATAACCTCAAGTAAAAAACTCCCAAATTGCAATATTAATGAAAAAAAACATTATTTTTTCCCACTTTTTTGTAACCCTTTTTTATTTCAAAAAATTTTTTTTAAACACCTTTTTTACTACCAGCCCAATTTTTAATTTTTGTCCTTTAAACATTATTTTATACTTCCCAAAATTTTTGTTCCCAAATTTAAAGTTTTTACTTTCCCAAACCCAAACCTTTGTATTATCCTTTACCGTGTACCGGGAAACCTGTCTCCCATTTTTCTATAATTTTTAACCCCAAGCCTTCCCATTGTGATTTTTTATTTTTCTTTTGAAAATTTAATTGTAAATTTTTTTTTGTCAAAAAAATTTCTATAGTTAAAAACCTTGATTTTGTAAACAACCATACCAGCCTCTAGTGCTATTGCAAGTACCTTTTAAATTTGTATTTTTAAAATAAAAAGTTTATTTTAAAATTTCCTACCATCGGTCCATTTAATTTTGCTTACCATTTTTTAAATTTTTAGTCCCTTATTTTATTTTCTTTTTTTTAGCTTTATATAACTACCTAGTTTATATATCCACAACTTTTAAAAATAATCAAGGTGCTATTCTCAGTGCTAAAAATAGAAAAGCTCATTATTTTTGCCAAATTTTATTCCCAAAACTCATTTATTTTTTTTAAACCCCTTTTTTTTCCACACAAAAACCCTATATTAGTCCCTTTTTTTTATTTTAAAACCCATAATTCTAACCTTTTTAAAAAAATTTCCTTTTTAGGAATAACCCCTTTAAAATTTCCCCAAACAAATATTTTATGATCATAACCCTTTTTTTTTATTAGTCCCCCTTTGCT